AAAAAAAATAATAATAATTCCCATAGCTCTTTTGGATCTGCAGGGGAATAGCAATTTTTTTATCTAAATTAGCTATTCAGCATTCCCCTTTGGTATTAATAATTTTGTTTTTTCAGAGCAACTGCTTGAATGTGTACCAAATGAACATATTTAGCACTAAAATTAACTACATTCAGATAACTCATCTGTTTAAAAAACCCCTGAGAAACACATGCACATAGATCTTTGCAAGTCTGAGTGTAAGCAAAAACAAGGGAAATACAATCACAGAGTATAATATTGTAATAAAACATCAGAACACGTAAAAATCCTCAGTCACCAAGTTATTGGCTTCATATGGACTCATAATTAATTCATAGTCTGCTTTTACATGGCTGGGAGAAAGGACATAAACCAAGAATGTGGGGTTTTGTTGTTTTCCCCTCTGTGACTTCTTGTCTGCCAGATTCCAAGTGAAAAGAAACCAAAGCTGGCATTACACAAAATTTAATTCAGATGAAACTTCAGATACTAAAGTCATTGAGTATACATTGCCTCAATAAAAAATGAGATGTTTGCAAGCTGCCTTGATGTGGTCTGCAAGGTCTAGTACATAAAAAAAGCAGCCTAGTGAATTGTCAAATGCTACTGAAGTGAATAAAAAGAAACCCCCTCTGGCCCTTTATTCCTTCTTTATTCTCTTACAATTACTGTGCAGATACAATACTCCAGATAAAATAGACAGTTATAAACCAGCATTCTGAAACAGAATGATTTCTTCTATCACTAAGTCACTGCAATACAATTTGAAAAAAAACAAAGAGAACCAATAATTTACTATTTTTTTGAGTGTTTACGCCATTTCAATTTTTCATACAGTAAAAGAAGAATTATGACTCTTGTCTCTTCCCTGAAGATGCCAATGGTAATCATAACTTCTTAGAGGTTAAGTCTCTTCATTATGTTCAAGGTGCCCAAACTATGATAAAGTATGACAAAGTAACACTGACAGTTTTGGATGTCTTCCTGCTTAGGCATTAGTAGTGCTTTCTAACTGGCATCAGAGACCATGTTCAAAGCATATAAAGGGCAACTTACAGAGCAAGACTACTGTCAATTTATTTCTATTTGCTATATTTCAGCCTGAATATATGGAAAATAATTAGACATATATAAATCAAAACTCTGAAGAACTACAGATATGACTGTGACTACTGCTACTGTGACTCTGCTCATCTTGTTGGAGTGAATTTCACTGTTCTTACTCAGCTGTAGTTTATTCTCAGATCCCACAGTGTGTATGTGGGGCTAGTGATTGAAATTAACATCTAGTTAATTATGTTGTAGCCTGAACTTGATTAAAACTCACTGCAGCTGTGTAAATTCCGAAAAATTAGTTTAATTAATACTGCCATGAGATGCATTGCAGTGGCTGAGGGTAGCTACAGCAGCATCCATGGTTCTGCTTGACTTTCCTCATCAATAAGTAACCCACAAAGAATGTTAACAAGAAAAATGGCTGGTGAACAGATCTTGTCTTAGAAAGTTTTCTCTGCAGAAGTGACTCAGTTATTGTATCCCTTCTTTCTCGAAGAAGATAATATAAGCCAGAAATCTCTCATTGTGAATGAAATAAAATATAGTATGAAAATAAAAAAGAATAAAATGTCTTTATCTAGATAGAAGACAAATCCAACTATTTTTGTAGATCTTTAGGTTGTGTTATTATTGTTATGTAGAAGATGTTTGAATTATGGGTAAGAATGTTTGAATGAAGGTAAGATACAGAATGATACCTTGAATAGCAAAGAATACAAGAGGTACTGTATTATAAAATCTGGTTTTATTTTCAACTGCTTGTATTTTTGTATTTGCCACATAAAAACTTGACAAAAGCAGGCCTCTCAATATAGAAGTGGTAAAAAGTCTTTAAATGGAACTTCATTAAGGAAATATTTTTAAAAAATCCATGTTCTTGCTGTTAAACTTTTTTAATTTTGATCTTGTACATTTAAAGAGTGAATCTTTTTTCCATCTTATCTGCTCCGTATGAGATATTCTGTGTACTATGGAAAAAAAAAAAAAAGGAATTTGTATTTCAGACCAAGAATTAGAAGGAAAAAAAAAAAAAGAAATGTAGAGACCTAGAATGTCCTGAGTTGGAAGGGATCCATCAGGATCATTGAGTCCAGCTTCTGGCCCTGCACAGAACACCCCAAGAATCACACCATGTGCCTGAGAGCATTGTTCAAACACTTCTTGAAATCCGATCTTCTTGTAATACAATTTTAATTGATTTGTATTAAATTGAACTAAAATCTCCTGATTTTATAAGGGATATATAATAGATATATTTAACTACCATAGATCCATATTTCACTGCAAAAGTCAGGACAAAAATCTCTGTGTTTGGTTTTGTAGTTGTTTTATAAATAACTAAGGAGGCTGCAGCTTTAGGTCTGAGACAGAATGATTAGGCTGCTGAATTTACTCACAAAGGCATAGCTTAATCCTACAGCTATTGGTAGCAGTATTCTTGGATCATTGTCAGTTTTAGAGAAATTATCTTTTGTTTGTCTGCTACTTGTCCGATTTATATTAGTTCTTCTGGAAATGTTTTAGGGGGCAGGAAAACATTGATACACAGACTTATCTGGCTCCAGAATTAGAAATATTAACATTGGAGAGAGGCTGAAAATTTAAAAATGTAAGAAGAGGAAGTTTACATTCATACATGGAAATACATATTGTGAGTAGACACAGAAAATCCTGGATATTGAAAAAGTTTATCAAAATCAATAGGAATAGCCAAATACTGTAACTGTAAGAATGTACATAAATCTTTGCAGGATCCAAGGATTCATTAGTAAGTTTTGTTTCATGATGAATATATCTATTTGAACAAAATAAACCAAAAGTCTTTGATAATCAATCAATTTCAAAATCAGTTGAAAACGAAATTAAGTAATCTGTTACTGTTAAAAAAAAATAAAAAAAACCCCTTAAATATGGTTGGTTTATTTTTTTCTACAAAAATGTGATGTTTACTGGAAAAAATAGCCACTTATCTTTCCTCACTTCATGCTTCTCTCTTCACCTAAATTAGTGAAAAATATTTTCTTAAGATTACACTTTTTTTTCCTAAGGAGCTTTCAAATTAAGGTTGTTTGTTTCTCTTTTAACATCCATGAATAATATATTTTCAATTAGACTTTAAATGTTCCAAACAATGACATAAATGTAATACTACATGGACATGTGCAAGTTTAACTGTATAATTTTTAGTAGTTCTCAGTACTGCAATTAGGAAAGCATTAGGGATGGTGTTCGATGTCAGCAAATGAAGGACCTAGGGATCAGTATTTTGCCTTTATTATAGCAGATTACTTCCCTTAATTATCTGTCTGGGTGTTCAATTTTTTGACAGAAACAGATTATAAGTAAGAAATTGGAAGCATGGTTGTCCTCTGTCTGACATATGCATGTATTTTTAATGGCTGACTGCAGAATTTTCACCTCTGGATGTGAATATGTGCTTTGCTATTTCTAATCCAACCTGATATTTCTAATTCTCTTCTAGTAAAACATGTCTGTGTCAGTTGTAGTCTTCCACTGGTCTGCATTTATCCTTGAGAGAGCATCTTTTGTTAGGAGTTTTCCTTTTCTACTCCCAGGTGGCACTGTTGAGAGCAGTTTCCTATGACCCTACCTATTCTCCCACAATACGCTTAAATCAAAGGGATCTTAGTGCACATTCACTACTTATCCCCTGAAATAATACTCTCTCTTTGCAAATTTACTTTCTGCATCCTTCATCCTGGCCTCTTCCATACATATACAGTGCCAAAAGAAAAGATGCTATAAGAAGACAATGTGTCACACAAGCATACAGACTTGTAGGTTAGATTGAATCCATACCTGATGGATTTCAGGTGTTTACTGAGTAGAAAAGGTCTGTGTTGGTGGGAGAAGGGAAGCCAGAAACTGATGGCTGGCCCCTGGTTGACATAATTCCTGAGGAAACTTTCAACAGTTATTTTAAGATCACATAGACAAACCTTGCTGAGTTAATCATGTTAGTCTGAAAGACATTTCAAAGTGAGCTAGGCCGATTGTGGGCACTGCTTAACTCAGCCCAGAAAGGAAGGTATAGAAACTGAAATGTCAGCTCAGCTTCAGGCTGTAGATTGCTTATATGTCTGTTAATTATCTTAACTGTTTAATGATAATTAGTTTAAATGGCAAAGCTGAGATCAATTTTTGGCAGATGCTCAGGTAAGGAGTGATAGCTGGACAGGCTCCCCTGTCTCTGAGTTAATGAAGCCTCTAAAGGGAAATATTAAGCTTGTTCAGGCCATGACAAAAAGCAGTATCTGAGTGATGATGAAACCATAGCTAGCCAGGCAGTCTGCACAACAGCTTTGCTCAGCAGGGACAGAAGGAAGAACTCCTTGAAGTACAGAACTCAGGGTGTATATACCTCCTGGGAGCATAGGATGATTCATTGGTAGCAGTGCTACAATTTGGAAGAGCAGTTGGTAAATTTGCTAGGTGCAAATATCTGAAGCTTTGCTGTGTGCCTGCCTCTCGAGGCTATGCAAAAAAAGTGTGAGCAGGCTGAGAAAGACCTTTATAAAGGGATGAAGCCTTCCTATGCCCAGGTGAGAACAAAGATCCACAAAATGGGCAGTTTGCACTGGGAACATGTATTCTTGAAGGTCCAGAACTACTCAGATCAGGCTATTTCTGTTGTCCTGATGTGATCAGATATGCCCCATGTATCAGTAGCTAACCTAATCAGTGTAGAGCTGGGTAAGAGCATAGTAATCCTAACTTCAAAAGAGAAATTAAATGAATAACAAATTCCAAAACCTAATAAATGTTTAGCTCATAAGCAGTTAAAATTCCACCAGCAGAATGAAGGCTGCTAGATGTGTTGTACAAAGTGCAGTAGATACTTTGTGGGACAGCCAAATACCGTGTCAGTAGCAAAAATGCCGTGTCAGTAGCAAGGGCTTCAAGTGAGATGTTGCAAAACTGAGAGATTCAACAAAATGGGGCAGCTGAGTTTCACTTTGAACTGCTTTAAGGTAAGTAATATAAGGAACATGTTCAGCTTGACACAGTACCAAATTTTGAATTGATGTTTACAATTAAGGAAAAACATTTTACAGTCATTTTGGACAGCTGTCTGAAATCACTGTCTTATAATGCAGCAGCAATCAACATGGTCAGCAAGGTATTGAGTATCATCAAGGAGTACATGAAGATCAAGACAAAACTGAAGTTCTGTAAGGAGACAAGAACAGTTAGAAAAGGCAATGAGGAAAGACAGGGATTTCAGTTTAGAGAGGAAGTTCAGAGAAGGCTGAGCAAGAAGTTGAATTTGGAGATATTATTCTCTAAGACCCACAGAAAAAGAATTAGAGGGCATTTAAACTAGAAAAGGTTGATTTGAACAGGAAGAAAGCAATTCTTTATACATGAGGCAGTGATCTTCTGCAAGTTGCTACTACTGAAGGCCATAGAAGCAGAGGGTATAATCAGTTAAAAAAAAAAAGCAGATTTATAGAAAATATTTATTCATATGGAAAATAAGAGATTAGGGAAGGGAGCACACTCTAGTATCATAAATATAGTAGTTGCAGGTCCTGGGAAAATAGAGGGAAAGCAGACATAAGAAAGTTTTCAGGCTTGTCTCCTCCCCTGAAATATTCTGTTGACATTGTCTGAGACAGAATACTGTGCTAGGTGGACAAGTTCCCTAACCTGGAGAGTACTAATTATGTTCTGATGTGGGTGAATTTAGCTGGACTTTCTGGAATAGCAATAAATACTAATGACTATTCATGAGAGAAAAGTGAAGATCCATCATCTGTTTGAAAGTATATTAGGACATGACCTGGTTCATGTGTGAATGAATGCTCCAGAATAACCCAGTGCTGAAAATAAGTCTTACCAGAATGCCTTCTTTATCTGTGGTCTCCAAAAATCGTGGTATCCTTGTTTTGGGTGATGAAAGTCGACTTTATCTTGTATGCTTTCAGCATTGAAATGATAAGACTGTAGCATGAGGACAATAAAAAGGGTATAGAGGAGATACATTACTTAAAAAGAGAAAAGATATTTATATATGGGCAAATAAAGATGAAAAGATGACAATGACAAAACACGCTTTAATAATACTGGATAGAGGCCCTGTAGATACATTTGAAATTTCTGTGGTATGTCAGTAAATTTTCTAAGTTTGTTCATCTGTTTTATAGTTTTCATTTCCTATAATTTTTTTCCACACTTGCACATCATATTAGGTAAAAACAATACTTCCCTTTTCTGTTGACACTGTGAAAGGATATCTGTCTGATTCAAATAATCTGGGAAAGAGTTAATTCTAATACTTAAACTGTACAGCAAGTATTTTTCAGGTCACTTTGAGGGTAATGCTATCTTTTCAGCACTGTAATAATGATATAATAAAAACAGTTTAATTGTCACAGATGAGGCAATGCAGTGTTTATATAGTTTATGGTTTACATATAAACTATAGCAATATACTTTTTTGCTATATTTTTATATATAAACTATAGCAAAATCTTCACACAAATATTTGTATTTTTCACATTTATGGCCATCCCTCTCTGGCTGGGCATATCTTAGTTATTTCATCCATGCAGGGAAATTGCTGCCTTACAGCTGTATAAACACTGAAAATCAGGTTGACTAATTAGCTAACCTCTTCCTGTGTTTATTTATGCTAATAGGTTTACTCACTTATGCTCTCTTAATGTGGGCTGGAAAAGACTGACTTTGTGATTTTAAGCAGTTTTAAATGCTTAAAATGTTTTTTCTAGAAAAGTCCTAGATAAAGATGCAAGACCATGTGCCAGAGATTCAGAGGGCAGTTCACTCTGTGCTATTTTATTCCTACTTTGTAATGCTTCTGTGTAATGGTGAGAGGTAGTTTTGATAGAATAATTTCATCAAAAGAATCCATTTCTGTACATAAAAAAATTTTGTTAGTTGAAGTGAGACATGTCAAAATGTGCAGTTTTACAGAGAGAGAAACTTATAATATGGCAATAGAGTTGCACAGCATTTCTGTATCCTGACAAAAAAATGAACAAGTGATTCCTATCTGCTATCTATAATGAGTTCAGTGAACTTTCTCTGTAGCTGGTAATGAGATCCAGCTGATAAGAGTTGTTAGTCAAAATGATGTTGGTGACAGAGCTACGTGAGGTTATTGAGGATAGGAGGATCAGTCGTCTTTCTCTCTTGTGAGGAGCAGGTTGAACAGTCAGAACTCTGGCTGCTGGCAGGTGGATACTGACTCCTGGGGAAGGATCTGGCTTCTGGAGGTGGACCCCATGAGGCACCAGTACAGGCTAAAAAGATATATATATATTGGGATTTAGGCTGCAACTTTACCTTGCCTTTTCTGTTCCTAAGTGTGATAAAACTGTGTTGTAGTCCCATGGAAAAATCTTCTTTCTTTTTTTGTTTCTCCAATTCTCTAGAGAGGAGCTGCACTGCCTATTACCAGCCTTGAAGACTTTGTTCAGGATCTGCACAGCCCAGTGGAGATAGTGTGGAGATATTTTTTTACCTAGATGTATCCAGCTTGCTGCTGGATACATCTAGGTAAAAAAACCACGAAACCCAAAATAAAACAACAAGCAAAAAAACCCCTGAACCAACCCAACAAACCTAGTTAAAGCTGGCATTTATGAATTAGTGCTGTAATTACAAGGTTAGATCATGAGGCTTCTGAGTAGTAAAATATTAATAATTGAAATATCAGTGTCTTTGGCATGCAGAATGTGCCACCAAATAAAGTGTAGGACAGAACTAAGTGCCAAGGATTCTTTAAGGAGCAAGTAAAACATCCTTGTATGGTTCATCTCTGCAAACACTGGGATTTTTCTCTATAGAATGAAGGCTTAGAATGAAGACTGCTTGCCTGTTTTTCTTCATATGGGCCTTGGACAGAAATGAGGAAAGGAAAAACAATTTCACAGATGAATCTGCTCAACTGATCAGGGAGAAAGCCTTAAGGAAGACAACTGAGGAAGCTTATTGGAAAGCTGCATGGTAAATTTGAATAGATGAAACAAACCATAAAACCTCCAGAGAGGATTCACTGTTCATATAAAATTCTTGATTTTTGAAATGAGGAAATATTATTTTTAAATTTATTTTATTTAGGAAACTTATATAAATGAAAAATTTCTCCTTGCCTTTGTACCTATTGCATATATTATGTTGTATGTCTTGGAATGAAAGAGAGAACTGTCTTTTCAGGTGATCTCCTTGTGGTATCTGAGCACAGCTTTTATATAATTAGAAATCTGCCGCTGCATGGTCCCCTCCAGATGGAGGCAAGGAAAAAGAGATGGTGGTGTGACTGAACAACACTCATGCTGCTGTGGAAGACTGCTCAGATGAGGTGGGTGCAGGCAATTGGTTCACGTAGCTCGGGGAAGAGAGGAGTGACAACAGGTATTTCAAAGAAAGCTGATTTTAGGCCAGCATGAGGAGGACTAGAGGGTAAACTTTGGTTTAGATCAGCTGGCTGTACCTGTTGAGAGGGTTAGCTGGTTGTGTAACTGATTACTTTATTTTATTTATTTCTCAAGTTAATGAAGAATGTGAGTGTTTTCCCGAGCTAGCCTGACTAACATGGAGGAAGGGTGTAAGCTGTTCAATAGGGTATAAAAAGACAGGCAACGAAATGAACTTAGATAGAAACAGGCTTGGGCTGGATTCAATACAAATATTCCCTCCTGGTGACTGGGGATACCCAGTGTCATCATAACAAACATATAAGGACCAGTAATAGGAATCGTATTTGCACTGTGATCCTACTGTATGTTGAACTGCTATGTTCTGCTTGTATTGTGATTTCACTGCTCTGTCATATCCCTCTGCTAAATCAAAATCCAGTGTAGCATGAAATATCTTCAAATAAGTAAGTTTAGCATTAAACATTAAACCCTTCTTGTGTGAAATGTCTAAGAGAAGCTGCTCAGAGAGTAATGAATTCTGACAGGGAATACAGGTTAAAAAGGGATTTTATTTTCAAAGTCTATTTTTCAGCTCCTATAGACACATATCAGACATGAGTAGGGAAGGGAGGGGAAGTCAGGGAAATTGCCAGTGTGTTGTGTCCAGCTGTTATTTCTTAATGTGACTTTGTGTTGAATTTCATATTACATAAAAAGTGGTTTTTATTGAAGCAACAGAATAGTTCTCTGCAAATAAACCAGTTTTCTGATAATTGACAATCAGGTACTTTATATATAAAACATGCTTAGCTTGCCACTAGGTGCCCCCACAACCATAGGAATGTTAATTGTACAAAACTGATACAATAAAATGTTTTGAAGAAAGTGTAGGCTGTTAGAAGTCTCTGACAAGTATTATTTATGCTATACCCTATATCAAAGATTTGACAGTATTATAAAATCGTTGGGTTTTACATGTCATATAGCTTTAAAATGTTTTTTAAACGCAGTTAAGCTAAATGTTCCTTCCCTACCCCCCATTCTACACCTTAAAATAATCTATTATCACCATATTTCTATTTTTTCTGATTTTTTTCCAATAAAAATGGAGTAGTGTGTGTAAATGGTTTGCAAATAATTTTCTATGTCAGCCAAAGATTTGCATGAGATCAATTACCAAAAATAATTAGTCTTCTAAAATAGAAATTTCTATCTGATTATTTATTCAGGGTCATATGTGTGATTTTTGGCTGGGACAGGATAGCTGAAGACCAGGCCTATGAAAGTTTTGGCTTCTATGCAGTTAGCTGTACTTGTGGCAGCTTAAAAGGGTTCAAGTCACTACTGGCTGGGTGTTTAGATCACTAAATAAAATTTCATGTTGACTCAGTAGAAATCCTCATTGCATTTTATATTTTGCTGAGTAGTGGGCTATGGTATAGTGTAGCAAAAAAAGGATTTAGATGAGGAAAAATTATTGGGATTTGTCTCTGTGTTTAAACTCTGTCATGCCTCTTATTAGCTGGATATATATATAAAATAATCAATATTTTGCCATTGTATTTTATTAATACAGGAAGGAATAATAAAAGTTCACAAGACCATGAGATGAGAGATTTCAGGAGAAGGATAGAAATTATTGATTTTGGGCAAGCATCACTTGTAGACTTCAGCTGTGAAGGCTAGACATCATAGTAACTGCAAAATAAACATTTCTATTTCCAGAGACAGAGAATAGACTGTTATTCCAGGTAGCCCATCAATCAAGAGAACTGCTTAAGAAAACAGCGACTTAGCTATTCTTTGTGTTTGAAAATGTGAATGGTTGCTGCACTTTGACTTCTGCACCTTAGATTTTCACTTCATGGTAGTTAAAAAAAAAGGTCTTCATGCTTTATACAAACATTGCATGTCAGCTAGGGAGTTAATTTGACAATAGGACACCTGGAATAATACATCTGTAATACTTTCTTGTGCTTTTTAGTGTATTTCTTTCCAGAATGCCATGGAGTTAATTTGACAATAGGACACCTGGAATAATACATCTGTAATACTTGTGCTTTTAGTGTATTTCTTTCCAGAATGCCATCGCTCTTGACACTCTCAAATTTGTACTTTTATCTTTCATTCTCCTTGTCTGCAATCTCACTAAGCAGATCCCTCCTTCCATCATCTTGAGATCCCACTGCAGCCATGTCTGTTTGGCCCTCCTGAGGTGGGGCAATTGTACCAGGTGATACAATTGTGTTGAAACCTCTCAGTTCAGTTTGTTGTTCATCTCCTCCATTATTTCTATTTTGGTGGTGTTTCTTTGGCCTCCTTCCATCATCTTGAGATCCCACTGCAGCCATGTCTGTTTGGCCCCCCTGAAGTGGGGCAATTGCACCAGGTGATACAATTTTGTTGAAACCTCTCAGTTCATTTTTTTTTTTTTTTTTTTTTTTTTTTTTTTAGTAGAAAATTAAAATTATTAACCTAGCTCCAAGGACAGAAATTGTGAATGCCCTACCCCGGGAAGTGTTTAAGTCTGGGTGGATGAAGCTATGAACAACCTGGTCTAGTGGAAGGTGTCCCTGCTCATGGCAGGGGGTTTGGAACTAGATGATCTTTAAGGTTGCTTCCAGCCCAGTCCATTCTATAATTCTATATATTATATATCATTCTCTATATATAATTCTGTAATATTGGGTGCTCTTTTCTTCCTTCAAGAAACATTTCTGTAGAGTTTCTCCTGACCATCCAATATTGCTTCTCCTTTTGCAAGCTGTGAAAAATTGGAAGAAATTTTAAGAAATAAGATTTGAAATAATAGTTATTTGGTTGAAAATTTGTTGTCCAGAATATGAATTCAAAGTTCAGAAAAGTTTAAATTAATACAGTTTTCCCAAATCTGTTTGTGCATTCTTTAGAAGTGATATATTCATTTAACGAGGGGGAGGCAGGGGAGAAAGCATCTTCTTTTGTGTTAGTACTGTAGACAGTCAGAAAGATTAGAGATTACCATTCAGAAAACTGTTCCTCTTTCAGGTATTTCAAAGTTACAGATTTATAACAATAGCAACGAATAATGACGGGCATAACACTTCAAAGTTTCAGTGGCAAAAGCCCCACTTTAATGTTACAGCCTATTTTTATCCAGTTTTCCAAGCTATCGTGTTTAATTCTAATTGGTTAGTAACTTTCTTGCCACACAATGCATTGGTTAAAAGGTGTTTGTGTGTACATGCTAAGGCTCTCTCTTTACACAGGTGTTCACGTTTTTCCTTTGTGGATTCTCATGGGATAGACTTCTTATTTTTAACAGATGCAAACTGCCTTCTTACAAGAATAGATTGTTATGCAAACTGATTCTCATTCTTATGATTCTTTCTCATGGGAACTTAACAGACTAGCTCTTAATTCAGCTGAAATAAAAATAAAGCCTGATTTTACAAGGCTTTTCTTTTATAAGGTTTTACCTACATACAACACAGATCATCATATTACAAGTATTTCATGAGTCCTGTCCTTCAACTCATAATGAAAAAAAGTTAAAATATCAAGGAAAAGGCAAAGTCTGCCTTGTAATTTCTATATTTAACCTTCATATTAGTGGTGTAAAAAGGTAGAAGTTAGACACTGCTCCCTTTGTATTTCCATTCTAATGATGTGGAAATTCCACAAGTATAATGTTTAACATCTGGCTAGTTAGTTCACAACATAACAATGAGCACTGCAAATAATTACCCATGTTTCAAAAATGTATGTAAATTAATTAATATTAGCAGATCTGAGAGCAAAAAAAGACAGTTGGATAGCTGAAATAGACAGATGATCATCTGCTGTGTCATTATACTTTGAATTTTATATGTAATATTTCTTCTAATGCAACTCTAGTTGTGGTTTTCTTTTGTGACTTATTTTCTTGCTGTGAGGGTTAAGGAAGGTTCTGTGATGAGAAGATTTATAAAATGGGACACCTCTGTGAAATTTTTCATTCATATCCTAACATTACATCTGTTAGGTATTTATAAAGAATTAATGAACTAAGTGTTACCAGTTCAATTTATCATGCTGCTTAGAAATGGACTGTGTTCAGAAATGGCTTGAAATATTTCATCCAGCTGTAGTGCAACTACAGTAAAATGTAATGAAATTAGTTCATACCTCAAGGCTGGAGATGGCTGTTCATTTGCTGTGATGTCTAAAATTTCCCCCTTTAGTCTGATGAGTGAGAGGTATTGTAGGGCAGGGATACCCAGCCTCAGCATCTTTGAAAATTCCGTGTTCCTTATTTCCCACATCTCCCACACCTAGCCCAGTATGAATAAAGGCACGGGCCCTGCATCTGTATTTGTCTCTCTTTCCTACAATAATTTTTTTTAACTGGGAATCACTAAAAGCATGAAACATTTTCACTGGGAAATTAATAAAGGAATTTTATCTTTAAGGATGTATTTCAGTGATGATTTCAGATAGAGAGAGGGAAGTAAACATGGAGTAAACACAAAAATGAAGAACAGGTGATCTGCTCTGTAACGTAATGTTGCTTTTCTAGTAAAATGTTCTGTATTTGCCTTGAAACTTTTATTGGCCACATTCCCTGGGGTACTAAAAGTAAATAAGAATATCTTGAGGTATGTGGACCTGGCATCTGACAATATCAGTATGGGTAGATACTATATGGCATAGTGTTTTGCAATGTGGAAAAATCAGTATATATTAAGCAGAATAAAATCAGTGTTTTATTAGTCATAACAATAGTTATTTATATAAAATCCATTCAATTTCCCTAAATTATGTACATAATGGCAAAAGGGAAAAATTTCAAGTCGTCATCCTTTTAAGAGTTCTTTTTGGACAAAATTGTCCTCTCCTGAAGACTTTCTATTGTATTTTCATCCTTAGTTCAATTACTTATCTCCCTGAATATAACTAAAATGCTGAATATTTT